AAAAGAATTTGAATAATTTTAGATTTTTTTGTTTTTATAACTTTTAAAATTGGTGCCTATTTCATGTCTGCATATAGAAATTTTTTCAGATTTTTTTTTTTATAATGTAAATTTTCTTGATCCAAATGAGTAATAATTTCAAATTATTCTTGTTAACATACTATACATTTTTAAACATTATTATAGGCAGGCGCAGTTTTTAGAATAGACTAGTTTATTTTAAAATTAATATTTTTTTCTTTAAGTTGCCAAATATATTTTGACATCATAGTTTTGTTTGAGAGTTTTTTTTGTTTAAAAAATTAAATGTTTTTTTTTTTTCCATTTTAGATGCCCCAAGAAGTCCTTACGGTCTTTTCACAGAGCACCGCGAATTGGGAAGTTCACGCCTCCTTCCCAGCCGATGTTGCAAAATTGCACAGAAGTGGATTTGAACCACAGATCTTATGTTTCTGAGGCAAGCACGCTACCACTGCACCACGGCTGCTTACCACTGCATTACGGCTGGTTGGCATAACGTTTTTTCCATTCACCCTGGGTAAACCCAATATACTGTTTATCAGCCTTGTTTTTTGAGAAAATAAATGAAATTAATAATGAAATAAATAAATAAATAAATGAAATAAAATAAATAAATGAAATAAAAAATAAAATAATAATAAATAAATAATTAAATAAATATTTAATTAAATAATTAAATAAATAAATAAATAAATGAAATAAAATAAATAAATGAAATAAAAAATAAAATAATAATAAATAAATAATTAAATAAATATTTAATTAAATAATTAAATAAATAAATAAATAAATAAATAAAAAAATAAATGAAAATAAATTTGTGAATAATAATTTTTGATAAGCATTTGCTATTTATATAGCAATCAATTTTTTGTTTGCAATTACAATTTTCAGAAATTTTTTCTTTAAAAAATTTATTTTTATTAATCAATGCAAAGTTGTGGCTTTTTATGGTTCTTTCTATTATTTTGTATTACTTGTACGCTATAGCTATACAAAAAGTATTGAACGAATCATAAAACCCCACAACTTGCAATAAAAATCATTTTTTTTAACAACTAAAATACATGTTTTTACTATTTTAAAGTCGAACCTTGTTGCGTTAAAAAAGAAACATTCAGTTGGGTAATAAAATACTTTTCCGCACGTGTTGTTCTTTATGTTTTTGAAGGTTTTAAACGCGCAACAGAAACCAAGGGTAACTTTTTTGATTTGTGCAGGCTGGGAAATAGACAATACCAAAGAATACAATAAAAATGTTATTTAATTATTTAGAAAAAGGTTAACAACTAATATAATGGTAACTATTATGTGAAAAGTGATATTTTATAGTGATATTGATATAGTAATATTGATATATTTTTGTGATATTTAATTTTATGACTTCACCATAAATCCACAAACAAAAGGGGGTTTCCACCATCCTTACTAACCCCCCACTCCCAATCAAAAAAAGTAATAATAACATTAAAAATATAATTTTTTAACTACTTATTAAAAGTTACAACAAACTGAAAACAAATATGAGAGATGTGGTGGTAATAGGTAACCAGGGGTGTGGAGTCGTAAAAAAAAAGTAACGACTCCGACTCCGACTCCAGTTGTTGAAATTTTTTGAGTACAATTTCGACTCCGACTCCAGTTGTTGAAATCTTTTGAGCACAACTCCGACTCCAACTCCGACTTTAATTCCAAAGCAAAATTTTTGAAAAATATTTTGAATTCTTTAAAAAATATTTCGCGATATATTAAAAATTTATTTTTTGACAAATTTATGAAACGTTCTTTGAGGTTTAGTATGAACATTAGGTTAATTGAATGTTTTGTACATGCATGTGCAATACCGAGAAGTTTTACTATTGGAATCGGAGTCGCGATTTTGTTTAGCGACTCCGACTCCGCTGAAAATCTCGCAACTCCACAGCTTCGACTCCACAACCCTATAGGTAACACAACCTTGTATCAAACATGTCTTCTCCTTATAAATAAATTTATATTTATTAAACTGAGATTAGTATACAATTTAAAATACAATCAAAATTATGTTTTTCAAGAATTTACATGTAGTTGTGGGTATACATCATTTAATGAGAGGTTGTGTTAGCTATCTCCTACACTTTGCAATAATTTTATTGAGATGAAATACGAGATTTCATGACCTGAGAATAGCGGAGTTTGGCATTAGACAAAACCTTTTTTACAATGGTTTTTAGCTATAGTAAACATACGTCTGTTTTCTGGAGAATTGTTTTGCTGATAAATATAGAAGTAATGGTTTTTATTTGAAATTGCAGCAGCACAATGCGAGGAAAACCATGGAGAAGAGTGAAACTGGACTTCTTCAAGAGGGAATAAAATATTCTATGCCAGCCTGAATCTAAGAAGTTGCGTTAGAAGTACATTTGTCAGCAGAAGACAAAAGATTTCTATCCGAAGGGTATTACTAAGAAAGTCACGGAAAGAGTCTTAGTCAGCTTTAAGGTAGTTATAAAAGGTGCTGTGATAGGGGTATTTTGATGATGAAGAAGAATGAGATAATAGTTTTAGAGAGATCAAACTGTGATCAAAGCACCTAAGGGTAAATGTGGAAAAACTGAACACTGATTAGGATCAGAAACAAGACAAAAGGCTGTTTGATGAGCATTAAAGTCACCAACAACAACAATATTGGCTGATGGATAAAGAGAAAGGGCTTGGTTAATTTGATCAGAAATATTATCAAAAAGAGTGCAGTCTTGGGATGAAGGAGAGCGATATAGAACAAAGAGAAAGGCTATAGAGTGAATTGGTGCTAAACGAAAGCACATAAAAGAATAGTCTGTGGATTCAAACCTAGTTTCTTGACAAATGCGTGATTTTTTACGAATGTAAATGCCCATGCCAAGCACGTGACTTACGGAATCTCTACGAATTAAAAGAAGATAACCATCAACCCTAAGCAGTAACAAAAGGCTCCAAATGTGGCCTCGATACAGTTCGAACAGGGACACCATCCATGCGCAACATAACACTGTTAGTGCTCTTATACTTTACAGCTGTTGATATAACAAGTCTCTCTGAAAGATACAACTGAGTTCGAGAAACCTGACTACTAGCTGGCCTCAGTACCATAAAAATAAGTTTTAGAGCTGTACTCTCATTAGGAGATAAGAGAATGAGTTGCTTAGTTACAAAGTCACAAGCAAAGTCCATGCATTGAGTTAAGAAGATCCAGCGTTCAACGTCCTAAATTGGAAATAATCTGTTATAAATACATCAGCGTCAGCCTAATAAATGAAGAAGAGGTGCGAGACTGGTTAATAGATAAAATCTGTTTACCCCTTAAGTCTTTGCCTAGGATTCCTTCTACAAGTCAGTAGCTGGATTCCTTTAACATCTGCCAAAGATAAGTACTTTTATTGAGACATCACTTCTAGCCTTTACTCAACCAAGAGTCCAAAGGCAGCGGTGTTTTTAGTCGGAGTTGGCTTCTCCTAGCCTTTGCCTAAAAAAGCGTATCTTACAAGGCAGCAGGAAATAAAGCAGGTTGTACTGGGTTTTATATTTCCAGTAGCAGGATAACCTAATCATTGGCTTTAAAAATATTTTTTTTTTTTTTTCAATTTTTTAGTTTACATTTATTACTTTATATTATGTTGTAAAGTATAAACTTGGCATCTGGAAGAAGAACAAATCTTGTCGCCAGAATCATATACAAATTGAAATATAAATATAATATAATACAAGTAGTCAAAATCAAAATGACAATATAAAGTAGTTGATATAATAAATGGTTACAAATTTTATCTAAAAATACTTTAATATATTATCCATTGAAAATATAATATTCTTTAACTTTTTTTTCAAAACTGGAAAAGAGATTGGCAAATCAAAGTTGGGCTTAACAACTTTATTTTAAAGATGAGGTGCTTGATAAGTTATACGAAATTGGTTTAACTTTGTTGGACAAAAAGGTTTGTTAAAAAAGCTATTATTTTGCAAACTATATTTATTCTTTGCTTTAAAGGTGCATATATGTTTAAAAACATTTAAAAATGGGTTATTCATACAACAAAACGTAAAACATATGGTATTACAAACATATGGTATCGTAAAACATATGGTATAAATGTTAAAGGGATCCCAAGCCTCGAAGACAATTTATGTTCATATTAAAGAGAATGATAAAAAAAAATGTTTGGGCTTAATATTTTTGATTAAAACAAAAGAATAAATGCATACAAAGAAAAAATAACTTTTTTATTCCAGTCAAAGCTCGCCTTCTCCATTTTGTTGTAGGCGAAAACGCTAGCATAATATATGCCGCAATCTACAAACCTGATCAAATATCCTATCAAAAATGATTAAAATAAACAACGTATGTATATAAAATAATAAATGAATTAAACAAATATTTTACTGGTATTGGAAGTAAACTTGCTAATAGGATTCCATCTACTGATATTTCTTTTTCCCTTATATACATACGTTGTTTATTTTAATCATTTTAATCATAAAACGCACTTGATAATTTATTCAAGTGCGTTTTATTCTTTAGAGTTTCAGTACATGACGTCTTTTTTGTTTGTTTACATATTCGATCTTTTGAATTAACAAAAAAATAATCAATTCAAACTCTTCAATTGATAAATCTAGAAATAAATCATGGTGAAAAGATTAATTATTGGTAGATTTTAAAGGGAAAAAGAAATATCAGTAGATGGAATCCTATTAGCAAGTTTACTTCCAATACCAGTAAAATATTTGTTTAATTCATTTATTATTCTATATACATACGTTGTTTATTTTAATCATTTTTGATAGGATATTTGATCAGGTTTTTTGTTTTCCTGTTATTTCTTTTAATATTTTCCGTAAATGTTTTGATTTATTTTTATATTTACTAATTAGATTAGAATATTAATTTTTTTTTTAAAGTTTTTTCCAAATAAAAGTTTGTAGCTTTTGTAGATTAGAATCGGATTTTTTTTTAAAAGTATTTTATATATAGTTTTTGAAGATTTTCTAAGTCCTTTGGTAATCCAAGAACTATTTAAAGCTTTTGGTTTTACAATATTTTCAGAGAATGGAATATTTGCATCGTACACCGAGTAAAATGTATTAAAGAACTTATTATTGATTTTATTTCATTGAAATTATGTTTCCAGTTTAATAATTGATGCTTAAACCTTTCTGAGCTATTTTTATTAAAAAAACGTTTTCTTATCATAATCTCAGAAACGCAATTTGTTGACCACTTTTCCTCTCCGAGCGTACGTACTTTATGGACGACCCCTTACCATACGTCCCGTTTTACCGGGATTGTCCCGGTTCTATGTCATTTGTCCCAGCGTTCCAAAGATTTTCGTTTTGTGCCGTTTTTGGAAAAAATGAATTTTTTGTTTCATTTAGTCCCAAACAAAATTCATGATTTTAAATTTTTAAAAAAAAGCAGACAACGAAAATCATATTATTTTAATATTAATACAAATGCTAACAATTGCTTTCTAGGTCTGCATTTTATCAGGAATTCAAGTTTTGATTTGGAATCATCTTGAATAACGCTAACCATTGACTTTATAAGTGTATGTGTAGTTGGAGTTTAAATTGGAGGAATTTTGTGATTTTATAAATGAGGAATATAGAAAAATAATCCAGCATGGAAGTACTAGATTTCTTTCACTGTTAACCGCAGTTAAAAGAATTTTGTATATGCTTGAGGCCCTGAAATAATATTTTGTTTCTCAAGAAAATTGTCCACGTGCTTTGAAAGCCTTTTTTTAAAGGGAAACAGGTGAGTTATATTTCTGGTTTGTGCATAGTCAGCTAAATAACTTTAACAAAACTGTATTAGTTATGGAAAAAAGTCAATAAAAATGCAACATACCTTAATTTGGAACTAAAAAAATTAAATATATAGGTTTACCATACGTCCCGTTTTTATGCCGTTTGTCATAGTGTCCCAAAATTTTTCATTTTGTCCCGTTTTCGTGAAAAAGTCTATAAAAACTTTACTTTTTGTCTTAAACAAAATTCAGGATTTTGGATTTTTAATAAAAATCTGACTAAGAAAATTATAATATCTTTTTATTAGCACAAATACTAGCAATAACATTCTAGATCTGCTTTATCTCAAAAATTCAAAATCAAAAAAAAAATTTAAAGTCTTTTTGATAAGATGTCAAATGCAATACCATTTCTTGCATCAAATAAGAAAGAGTAGAGTTCATTGAAAATCTAAATCGTCTATGTTGAAAAATAGGTCAAATTATTAAAACAATTTTAAGAAAAAGACTTTAGAGGACTTAATTTAGTAAAAGTTATTGAATAAATTTTGTGTATGCTAGGAACATCTACACCTGTAGAGCGTATTTCTTCAATCATTGGAGCAATAAGGTTCTATTTTTTTTATAAAAAGATTTACATGGTTACAAAGTGCCATGTTTTTTGAAGCATAAAAAATTGCAATTTCTCCAAATTTCTCCAGCCCCCTTCTATCTCTAGTCATTTATATCATCTTTTTTTCCCTCTATAATAAATAACTAACAGCGCACCCCCAAAATCTCTTTCTAACCCCCCAACCCTTACCTGCCTGTCTTACCTGCCTGTCATATATATATATATATATATATATATATATATATATATATATATATATATATATGTATATATGTATATATATATATATATATATATATATATATATATATATATATATATATATATATATATATATATATATATATATAAATACACAGTGCTCGAAGTGGGGAAAAAAAAGTAATGGGATGGTAAACGGTAAATTAAAAATACCATTCCACCTAACCATTTTTATATATAGAGATTTATGAAAAGATGGCGGGATGGTTTATACTTTATGAAACGGGATGGCATCCCGCCGCATCCCGCCTCACTTCGAGCACTGTGTATATATAAATATATATATATCGATGGTTAAGAGGGAATATGTTTAACATTTTACGGTTTTGAGTTATTGCGCGCGCGCCATTCAGTAAGTGATTAGGGTATTATGATACAAATATTAGGCTTCAACAGTAGACCAATTGGAAGATATTTAACATAACAAATAGGTGATATGTGATATGATATGAGCACAAAAGTAACATGTCCAATGTACCTTTTGTGCACCGGAATTATGTCACTTCTTAATGTGCGTAAAAGTAATATGTACGACATGCCTTTTGTGCACCAGAAATTCAAAACAAACACGCGTTGGTATTGGCTTGCACATTGGTAATATGTACCGTGGTGTTACCATGTGATATACGCTTCCGTACTACTGAGCGCTTTTTCATATATTTTTATATTATTTGTATCGAATTTATAATAAAGAATATTGTAATAAATTTGAAATAAAAATATAATTATATTGTTTTCATTTTAAAACTGTCGGTATGGTTTTTCGAGTACTTTTTTGTTTCATTAAGGACCCTTTGAGAATAAAACAGGCGATTTTTGCGTTCATAGTTAGAAACACTGACCCTGTGAAATGTCAAGTTCATGTCAATTGCGTATGCGCATAAGCGTGTTGTGTCGTGTTTTTTTCGCTTCGCTGACTTTTTTTTTAAATATTGCAGTTGTTTTGCTTGGTTTCGTTATTTAAATAAACGTGAAATTATATTATACTGAGAGATATTTTAAAGAAATTTTATAAGTGGTGCTTTTTGTGAGTTTTTTGAACTGTAAAACGTGAAACTGTGAAGTGTGTAAACATTCTTAGTTTATGTAGTTTAGTTATTCCGTATTAGTTTTTGTCATATTTTATTAGTTTATATTAGTGTAGTATAGTTTTGTGTTACTATTTTAGTGTAATATTAGTTGTAAGCGCAAAAAACTTAACAATGTTTCCTAATCAAAGTGCTCGAAGCAAGTTAATTTTTGAAATATTAAATGTACCCTAAGATCCCACCATTGTACAACCAAGTGTTAGTAAAACTTTGGAAACAAGTAAGAGAATTCTTTATAATTTATAACTTCACATTATGCAATGTAATTATGACATTTTATATTATTTTTAAACTCCTGTTTTTTTCAGATTCCCTTCCTAGTGTTGAAATCCAGTATTTGGATCACGAGATGAAAGAAATGTTTCCTTCAGAAATTGTGAATGTGGTGTCTAATAATATGATACGTAATATTATTGAGAATAATGTTGACAATTCAGAAACACCAATTGGAGGTGATTTCAGAGTTATTAGTAAGAGCATCATTGATAGAAGCATTCTAGTCGATGGAGAATCAGGTATTATAAAATTTCATTATTATTTTCAAAAAATTTATTTAACACAATACATTATTAATTTTTTTGCAAATTATTTTTTTTAATTTATCTTTAGCCACTGTTAATGATGACAAACTTACATCCACGTTAACAAATATTTCTGTATTTGTTGAGAACATTGATGCCCATGCAAACTCAGGTATTTTATATGCTACTTCATAATTATTAAATAAAATCAATGCAACACATTTTTAACTTGAATTGATCGTTTTTTATTTACTTTTAGCCACTATTAGTAACAACAAACTTGCCTCTACATCAGGAAATGTGTCTCTGTCTAGCTATGCTTCATCTAGCACTTCAGGTATTGTAATTATTTGTAATGCAAATTAAAATAAACAATCAAGTTAAAATGTGCAAACATAAACAACTTTTTATGTTCTTTCAGTGTATATAAGAAGCAGACATCCTGATCTTTCCAAGCGGGAAAGAAATGTAAGAAGTGATAATCGAGTAGCTGGAAAACCTTATGTTAATCGAAAAGGAGTTTTAGTTCCTAAAAAGTTACCCGAAGATATAGACTGTAAATGCAAATTTCAATGCGGTACAATGATACCATATGAGCTGAGAAAACTTTTGTGAGCCCAATATTATGCATTGACCGATGCAAATTCTCAAAAATCTTTCATCTGTTCTCTAGATTTAGATAGCAATACAATTGCAAGACGTAGACAAAGAAGCGAAGAGGCAAACAAAACACATTGCATTTCAAGATCGTATTTTTTGCAATTCGACAATAAAAACATCCGCGTATGTCTAAAATTTTTCTGTAGTACATTTAAATTTAACGCATTAAAAGACAAGGTAAATGGGATGTATGTTGGCAATTATAACAGAAAAGGGAAATCAGCACCAAACGGTACACCTGAGAATATTATTTTAGGAATAAAACGACACATCGATAGCTTCCCAAGAATGGAGTCACACTATTGTCGACGTGACACAAAAAAACTGTATTTAGATTCCAGTCTTAAAATTTCCATCATGTTCAGGATCTATAAAGATCAATTATGCCCTGAAAACAATATACTACAGGAATCAAATTATAATATATATACAGGGGTGGGACCGCAAAATGTGAACGTTTTTGTTTTATTATAACTATTTTCTCGTTAGATGTAGTTGTACTCTCTCACTCATCAGAAAGTGTCTAAAGAGTTGGTCTAAACGTTGTAAATGATCTACGAGAATCAAGGAGGTCAAATTGAACATTTAAAATAGTTCATATTTAACAGAAAAATAATTATTACAATCAGAAAAGTGTTCACATTTTGCGGTCCCACCCCTGTATATATATATATATATATATATATATATATATATATATATATATATATATATATATATATATATATATATATATATATATATATATATATATATATATATATATATATATATATATATATATATATATATATATATATATATATATATATATATATATATATATATATATATATATATATATATATATATATATATATATATATATATATATATATATAGGGAAGTATTTAATAAATATGATCCTCCGTTGGCATTTTACTGCCCCAAAAAGGACCAATGCACAAAGTGCAATATTTATAAAAAATTGGGAGATAAATCATCCCACGAAGAGGAGCATGCCCTTCATAAAAGAAGGGATTATGAGGCTCTGCAATTGGAGAATGCCGATAAGCAGAAAACCAAAGAAAACAAAGGTGATAGCTATCGAGCCATCACATTTGATATACAAAGCATTCTGTCTATCCCGCATGCGGGCAATGCGCAGATATTTCATAAACGAAAGTTAAATGTGTATAATTTTACAATATTTGAAGGGCATAATTCGGACGAGCATTGCTTTTTGTGGAATGAAACCAACGGAGGAAAGGGGTCTTGCGAAGTTAGTACTTGCCTAGAAAAAACTTGACACGTGTTTAAAACACGTGTCAAGTTTTTTTGACACTTATGGTGGGCAGAATAGAAACAAGTATGTGGCCGCAGCAATGCTTTGTGCCGTAAACAATTTTGCTGTGGAGACCATTGACTTGAAGTTTATGGAGCCTGGACACTCTTATTTAGAGGCAGACTCCATTCATTCAACAATAGAACGTGAAAAAAAATATAAAAACATCTATAGTGTGAATGAATGGAGACTGTTGATGGAATTAGCTAGACAAAATCCAAGGCCATACAAAAGAAATTTAATGTATCATAATGATTTTTATGATATAAAAGAGTTGTTTACAAACAATATTAATAATGTAAACAATAATACTAATGCGGAACAGGTACAGTGGTTGAAAATAAATTGGCTTCGATTTCTAAAATCAGATCCCAATTTAATTTTATATAAAAACGATCTTTGGGATGAAGAATTTAAGATAATCAATATTAAATCAAATCGGAGGAGTGGAAGAATTCGTTCATGGAATAATGGAATTTCCAAAAAATATGACTCTAGGATACTGCATGGTGCATCAAAAAAAAAAAAAGATATATTAGACCTACTGACGCAAGAGGTTATTCCTGCTGATTACAGTGATTTGATTAAAAATTTACCTTGATGAATGAATGATTGTGTGATTATAAACTTTTTTATATTTTATTTCTTTGCATATTTCTTTGTTCTTTGTATATTATTAATAAAGATTGATTAAAAGATTAAAAATGCATTTTACTTAAGTCATTTCCTCGCTACATTGTGCTGTACTTAGTAAATTGGTGTTCATGCCAACGTTAGTATCAATCTGACAAGAAGTACCAATTTGACATTTTTTTTTTTTTTTTAATTATTCACCTCCCCAAGGCCCGAGGGGGCCACTACAGTTGAGGAGGCTACTACTTTTTTTTGTTGTTGTTGTTGTTGTAAATCGTGGTACAACCCTCTTTCAACTCTTTAACTCCGAAACACGAACCTTGAAAAGCAAGGCCGCTGCGAGGAGAAATTAAGTTGCGCGCGAAACTTCCAGGGGCATGGTGGGAGTCGAACTCCGAACCTCTCGCTTACAAAGCGAGCGCTCTTACCACTACACCACTACCGCATTGCAAATTAATAAAAGGTTTTATAGAATAAGAATGTACTAGAAGGAGCCAGACAGATTTTATTTGTAGTCATTTTTTCGGAAATTTACACAAAAAACAATTACAAATTGACAAAGACCTCCTTGGTCAAATGTTGCTCTACTTCTCGTCAAATATTTGTATACAAAACATAACTGTTACACCCTCTATAATATAATAAGACCTATATTAAATATTACAATGTAATAAATATAATTTACTCTGAGGATTTATTACATTGCGCATTGAAAAGTGGTTACTTTCTAGCAGATTCGACGTAAAATGTATAACGCACACAGGGAATAAGTCCACACCTAGGACTACATCTGTGCACAATGGTAATATGTCCGCACAGGTTGTCAAATTAACAGATATTGTATTAAAGTATGTAAAAGAAATGAAAATAAAATAGTAAAAAACAAGACAGAATTAATTGAGGAATGCATTTGGTTAAAAATCATGACAATAAATATCAAGAATTATTGTATGTTTTTAAACTTTCAAATTCAGATTTCTCAAAACAATGGTTAGTGGACGTATTTCCTTTGTGCTCCTAACCATCGATATTTCCTCTTTGCATTAACATCGCAAATGGCGGACTTTTTCTTCAAACGGATAAAAACAACTTTTTTAGAGACGAAAAAAGAAAAAAAGGAAAAGAAAACATTTATAAATTAAACGAATAATAAAATCAACTAAAAAGAAGAATAAATAAATATTTTAAAACAAGAAAAAAAAAAGAAACATCTAAAAGAAAATAAATAAAGAAGTATAGAAAATAGAAATTAAGAAAAAAGTTAATAAATGATATATAGAAAAAGAATGGAAAGAAAAAAAAAAACAATTTATACATCGATAAAAGATTGGCAAATGAAAATTGCTTAATTTTTCATATATTTCTTTAGTTTTATTTCATATATTTCTTTAGTTTTCTTTCATAATTTTTTAGGATTCTTTATTTACGATTTATTTTTTATTTAAGCGGTCTTGTATTAATGATTTTTCTTTAGTTTTTTAGCGTATAAAAATTAACTTATTATTTTTTGTTTGTCATTTATTTTATTTTTTTTAGTTACTTAATTATTTTTATGTAGTGATATCTAATTTTTTAAAGTGTTATATATTTTTTGTTTTTATTTTCGTTTTAAGCATTTATTATAAATGTTTTATTCTACTGTGTATTATTATTACTTTTTTTCTTAATTTCTTTATTATTTTTAACTTAAGTTGAATCTTGTTGTTGTTGATGTTCTTTTTTGTTTTTATTGCCAAAAGAACTAAACGTAATTTTTTGTTGTGCTTGTAATGTTCGTTGTAACTTTTGTTTTGTTTTGATTTTCTCAGTATTTTTCTATTTATATTTTATTTATTTACTTTGTCATATTGTTTGCAATATATTTCTGTTATTATAATATAAGAAAAATATATTTACTAAATCTTTATAAATTTTTAGCAGTTGTTTTTATGCCATCGTAAGTTGTTATGTTTTGTCAGTTAATTACTGTTTGTAACTGTAACTTTGTATGTAAAAACGATTGTTGTATGGAAAAGTATACTTATGTATTTAAATTATTTTAATTACTATATTATTATTACCATTGTTAAAATAACATGTTATTATTATTATTATTATTGTTATTATTATTATTATTATTATTATTATTATTATATATTATTATTTTTATAAGTATTATCTTTATTATTATTATTATTGTTATTACTATTTTTATCATTATCATTAGGTGTTTACGTGATGTTAGTAGTTTATAATATTTGTAAACAACCTTGAAATGTAAGACCAAATATTTCAGAAATAAATTTTGATTGATTGCAATGGCGTAGGAAGGTCGTGAAAATTGGGGAGGCTGAAGACATATGTTAAAAAGGAAAAAGTTTCTCAATTTCGTTTGGTACAGCAAAAAAGATAAAAATGATTTATTAAATTTTAAAAAAATGTGAATTAAATTTTAAATTATTAAAATAAAAAATAAAAATTAAATTATTTATCACATGCAAGATTATTACTCTATTGATTTTTATATTTTTTACCTTTAACAAATATTTAATAGCTTTTAATAATTGTTAAGACAGTTTTACATTAATAATATAATAAACTAAGCACAACATTTAATTAATATTACAATATTATAATTATAAAGTAATACATTAAATATAACATAATTTATTAAGTTCGTAAAACGTGAAACAAGCTCTATGGTTTTCCAAAATATCGTTGACGCTCATCATTTGCCAGCACAAATTCTTTATAAATAGTGTTATTGTCAACTTCTTCCAAAATATCTTTATGAATATGACTCACAATGGTACTGTTTAATCTTTTTTGATTCATAGTAGAACGGAGATATGTTTTTAGCCTCCTTAGACTGGAAAATGATCTTTCTGCTGTTGCTGTACAGACTGGTATAGTAAGAAAGACTCTTAGAATTTTAGACACTTCATCAAACATATTAGGTGCATCATTTTTGGTAAACATTTCAACTAATATTAAGATGGTTGTTATCTTAGTAATCTGTTTGATTAATTCAAATAGCGTTTGAAGTTGCCATGTTAACCTTCCTTTATCCAGTCGATGTCAGGGTACATTTTTGACAGTGATGGATCTATCTCGATAGTTTCTGACTCCAAGTTTGCCGAGTTCAATAAAAACGTTTCCAAATTAATGGCGTTTTTAACAGATGGCTGCTGAAACCTCATGTCAAGATCACCAACCAAGAGGTCAACAACTTCATAAAACTTTTGTCTGAAATAATCAGAAACATCTGTGAAAATATGAGGTCCTGAGCCAAAATCTAACCACCGCGGTTGTTTTCGAGTCCGTGGAATTGATGGCTCACTTACTTCTAAATCATCAGCTTCAGATTTTACTTCCTTGTAGAACTGATTAAACGATGTATCTCTTAATCTTTGCAAATACTGTTTGGTGACTGTCACACACTTCATAGCTTCAGTTAAAGACAATGCTTTCGTTTGCAACGTACCTAAAGCCTGTTCTGTTGCATTAGAAAAAAAACAACATATTTTCATACTAAAATATATTTCAAATATTTGAAGCTGTTGCGATATTCCCCTCGCTTTGAACCCAGAGACCTCTGATACCAATTCTTCAATTTCTGCCAATGGATTTATAACAGACATGTAATTCGTACAATG